AGCCAGCCTCCTCCTCCTCCATGTCTGCCATTGTCCTGGATGCCTGTGTGACCCAAAACAAGACAGTTCAGCCATGAGAAAATTTCCAGTGATTAGTTTTCTGTCCCCTTAATGAGCTGGAATAACCATGAGTTCAGATTCAGGTCAGAAGGGATCTCAGGGTTGCATGGCTCAACTCCTCAAAAGCAAGGCCAGCTTTGGATGGTTCGATTGCTCAGACCTCAGGTGAGCAACAAAGCTGTGGCACAGAGATGCTGCTTTGCTCAGGAAGAGTTGATTTTTTAAGTAAGAGAAGCCCTACTTCATTTTCTGAAAATGTGGCTCCTCTTAGTGGCTTGTACAAGGAAGAAGAAAATGAGGATGTCTCTGGCAGCTGCTCATTGTTGGGCTGACTCTGTTCTCAGCTGAATCATAGAATCACAGAATATCCTGGGCTGGAAGGACCCACAGGATGATCCAGTCCAACCCAGGCCCTGCACAGACCCAACACCCCCACCCTGGGCATCCCTGGAGCTCTGGCAGCCTCGGGGCCGTGCCCATTCCCTGGGGAGCCTGGGCAGTGCCAGCACCCTCTGGGGGAAGAACCTTGCCCTGATCTCCAGCCTGAGCTGCCCTGGCCCAGCTCCAGCCGTGCCCTGGCTGCTGTCCCTGTCCCAGAGCAGAGATGGGAGCTGCCCTCGGGAGGAGCTGCAGATCCCTGAGCTCTGCCCTCAGCGTGCCCTGCTCCAGCTGCACACACCAAGAGCCCTCAGCTGCTCCTTGTGTTGCCCCTCCTGAGCCTTCAGAATCTTTGTGGCCCCTCTTTGGGCGCCCTTTGATAGCTTTAGATCCTTAATAATTAAGATGTAGTAATAGTAAGAATAAGATGCAGTAAATTGAAGCTTCTGGAAGTTAAAGGAGACTTGGGCAGTGGTTGGAGCTGTGAGATAATCCTGCTTGCTGGGCACAGCTGTTTCCACCTCTGGAGCTCTGTGGGTGCAGGCAGGGCTGAGTGCTGGGCACTGATCCTTACAAAGCAATCCCATGTTTCTGGACCACATCTGCATGACAGCAGGTGCAGAAATACTGTAGGAAAATAACAGGCAACTGAAAAGAAACTACAGGCTCCTTTAGGAAGCCTCCAGTCACTGGAAGTGGTGCCTTGGGTTTGAGGCAGAGTGTGGCCAGCTGTAACCCTGTGTTTTGGGGGCTGCACCGTTGATGTTCAGGTACAGCTGGTGGGACTCTGCTCTGGAGCTCTCTGTGTCTCCTCCTCACACAGCTCTGTGCATCTGGTAGGGCAAGAGAAATGTATTAGCACAGGCTGATGTTTGCTCAGATTCTGGTTCAAATCCAACAAAAAGCCAGGCAAGTCTGCTGGATTGTGGGAGGATAAGAGCTCATTTCATTAAATCACTGCAGGTCAGAAAAATGTCTGTGCATTGCATCAGTCTGATGGAATCAGCCCCAGGGAAAACATCAGTGTCTGTCCAGGGCTGTGCTCAGGGCTGTGCTCAGCAGCACTCTGGGCACACAGCACCAATCTAGCTCACAGCCTGTGTCTCTCTGGCCTGAGCTGGCTGTACATTTAGATATAATTTAGCCTATTTCAGTGAGCAGCCTCCCTTGCTGTGGCAGTTCCTCCATCCCTGCAGGGGCTGTGGCTGTAGCAGGGACCATGGATGTGCTGCCAGGGGCAGAGGCACTGTGGGAACTCCTCTGGGTGGCTGAATGACATGAGGTGTCCCATCATGGGATCTGCATGCACCCAGTTATGGGATTTTATTGCCCAAATCCCAAAACCAATTCTTCAAGCCTGGTACATTACTACTACATGTACTATCTTTACAGCTGAAGTGGGCAACAGATTTTTATTGCATTTATTTCACCAAAAGATGAACTCTCTTATTAACATAAGATTATACAGTGAAAGCTTGCACCAGGACTTCATCTGACAGCAGTCTCCTTTTTCCTGGCAGCGAGTTCCCAGTGATGTGGTCCCAGCCTGGGAGCAAGGGGTGCAGTCCAGCTGCTCTGCCTACTGCATGCCAACTCCCCAAATGCACCATTTCTCTGGGTTTGTTACTAGTAAAACTGAGAGCACAGGTTTGCCTCACAGCTTGTGTGTAGAATTCTCAGCGTTCCCTCCACATTAGAGAAACCTCATTGTGGCACAGCTTGGTTTAGACAGTGAGCAGATCTCACATGAAATGCTCCCTGCCCTGGCTTCCACATCCCTTTAACAGTTTCTTTGAAGTATGGAGAGTTTTAAAATCATTGAATCATGGATTGGTGTAGGCTGGAAGGGACCATAAAGCCCATCCAGTGCCACCCCTGCCATGGCAGGGACACCATCCACTGTCCCAGGTGCTCCAGCCCCAATGTCCAGCCTGGCCTTGGGCACTGCCAGGGATCCAGGGGCAGCCACAGCTGCTCTGGGCAACTATTCCATTCAACCTGTGTTTGTCCCTGTTCTGTCAACTTGTGGGATTCTAATAAATGGTTTGATACAAACACTTCTCTGCCCTCCATCCCTGCAGGGGCTGTGGCTGTAGCAGGGACCATGGATGTGCTGCCAGGGGCACAGGCACAGTGGGAACTCTGGGTGGCTGAATGACACGAGGTGTCCCATCATGGGATCTGCATGCACCCAGTTATGGGATTTTATTGCCCAAATCCCAAAACCAATTCTTCAAGCTTGGTACATTACTACTACATGTACTATCTTTACAGCTGAAGTGGGCAACAGATTTTTATTGCATTTATTTCACCAAAAGTTGAACTCTCTTATTAACATAAGATTATACAGTGAAAGCTTGCACCAGGACTTCATCTGACAGCAGTCTCCTTTTTCCTGGCAGCGAGTTCCCAGTGATGTGGTCCCAGCCTGGGAGCAAGGGGTGCAGTCCAGCTGCTCTGCCTACTGCATGCCAACTCCCCAAATGCACCATTTCTCTGGGTTTGTTACTAGTAAAACTGAGAGCACAGGTTTGCCTCACAGCTTGTGTGTAGAATTCTCAGTGTTCCCTCCACATTAGAGAAACCTCATTGTGGCACAGCTTGGTTTAGACAGTGAGCAGATCTCACATGAAATGCTCCCTGCCCTGGCTTCCACATCCCTTTGATATTTAACAGTTTCTTTGAAGTATGGAGAGTTTTAGAATCATGGAATCATGGATTGGTGTAGGCTGGCAGGGACCATAAAGCCCATCCAGTGCCACCCCTGCCATGGCAGGGACACCTTCCACTGTCCCAGGTGCTCCCAGCCCCAGTGTCCAGCCTGGCCTTGGGCACTGCCAGGGATCCAGGGGCAGCCACAGCTGCTCTGGGCAACTATTCCATTCAACCTGTGTTTGTCCCTGTTCTGTCAACTTGTGGGATTCTAATAAATGGTTTGATACAAACACTTCTCTGCTGAGATCAGTCATTGCACACCTGAAGCCAGAGGCCCCACAATTCCATGATCAGCACCTGCCTTACCTGTGCCATTCCTCCCTGCAGCTCAGTGCCAGGTGTCACCTGGAGCAGGTGACACTTCTGGAGTGCCATCAGCTCTAAGAAGCACCTGAGCCATCACACTCATTTTCATAACAGCAAAATAGTCTTGCTTTTTAACACTTAACAGCTCAGACAAAAAGTATTAAAACCCTGTTTCTGCCACATTCCCAGTGTCTGCCTAAGACAAAAAACTCTTTATTCAGGAAGTCAGATACATCCTGATGTCTGTGTGCTTCTTCACAGCTTCTGATACAGAATGCACAAAAGCAAGGAAATAAAATTAAAACTAAACATGCCTACATGACAGCCAGAATGGGGCTGGATCCCAGATGCACTCTGTGATTTGGGTTGGAAGGGACCTTAAAACTCAACTCATTCCAACCCTCTGCCCTTGCAGGGACACCTTCCACTATCCCAGGTTGCTCCAAACCTCCTCCAACCTGGCCTTGGACACTGCCAGGGATCCAGGGGCAGCCACAGCTTCGTTGTGCCAGGGGAATAAATCCTTGTTCACAGTAACTGCTCCTAAAACCTCATTACAGGAACCTTAAAAATCTCTGTATATGCCCACAGTTGTGCCATCCTGGTATCAGTCTTTTATTGTCTCTGTTTCCCTGGCTAAGACTTTTTTCATAACTACAAGGCCTCTGATTTCAAAAGTGTTTGCCTGTGTTTTTTCCTAACTCCTTGCCCCTATGTTGAGGTTTCCAGATGTGAGAAATAAGACATCCTAAAGATCACTGTAGTTTTCAAAATGCAGCAGGATTTTGGTTTGTTTCTTTTTAGCAGAAATTTAAAACAGAAGGAAATACTGGTCTGCTAGGCTGGGCAGACCTTCCCTGGCCTTTAGCAGGCTTGGGAAAGATGACTGACCAAATTTAGGGGATGTGTGGGCAAGTATAGCAGAAACCTGGTTTTGTGGTGGAAAGAGTGAGAAGATAAGAAGGAACACACCTGCCTCTGGTATTTGTGGAGGGGCAGGGCAGCTGGTCCAGCTGAGATGAGCTGCTGCTCAGGACCAGGTGCAGTAATCCTTGTAGGCAGCGAGGACGGAGCTGGTCCCTTCCACTGCAGTTTGCTGGAAATTTAGGGATAGATTTGACATCAGCCTTGAGAGAGGGGATTTCCAGTGTTTGCAGCTCTGGCTCTGTGGCTGTCAGACAGGTCTTGGCTGATCCCTCCCTAGGAATGCTCTCAGAGCCTTTTCCGTGGCCATTGGCAGGTCACTGCTTGCAGAAGGAAGAGCTGTAGGTGCCACTTACTTTCAGGAAGGAAGGTATGGCTGCATGCATGATCCTTCTGGAGTTCAGCCCATCCAGGTTAAGCCCCAGTGTCCCCCAGCTCGAGTTCTGAGCTGGGGATCTGTGTGTTTGGTTTTTACTCTGGCATGGAGAGCAGTCCCCCGCCCAGGGGTCTGGGAGTACTCCAGGTTTTTCCATGTGACACTGTGTAAAGATGGAGGCTGCTCTTGTTTTGATTCTCACCTGATTTAATTACATTTGCTTTTTCTCTTTTTATTTCAGTTGTGATTCCAAAGAGCCCTTTACCTGCCTCCGAAGTAAACTCGGAGAAACCTAGCATGCACAGTAGCACAAAGACTGTTTTGGGGCATCAACAAGGGCAAAGGCGTCGCAAAACAGGGAAGAAGCGTGGTCGAACGACCAAAGCGCTAATCCACCACCCCATGCCTACACCCTCCAAGTCAGTGGAGCCTTTGAAATTCCCCAGAAAGAGAGGCCCCAAGCCTGGCAGTAAGGTAAAAGCTGATGCTGATGCAGGCGGGTGAACAGCAGGTGCTGCAGGTCCTGCCATGGGTTGGTGCATGCGTGTGTTTGTGCACGTTTGTCTCAGCCTCTGGCTGTGTGACTGCAGCAAGTAGGAGACCAGAGGGGTGTGTGGGCTGGGAGTGTCCTCAGAGCCCAGCCCCAGAGCTGTAGAGAATGTCTGTGTCCTAAAGATCATTTCCATCAAGAATCCGTGTCTTTGGAAGTGCATTGGCTGTGGAGTAGCATGGCAGATGCTGGGAACATGACAGGATGGCCAAAGGGTAGAGTAAGCTCTCCTGTCCTTTGTGTGTGGCTAGTCTGAGTCAAGCAGAGGTGGCAGGTTCCAGGCTTGTTATTTTCAGGGTTGTGGTTTGTAAAATACACACATATTGATTACTAGGTTCTTGAGACACCCCATCATCACCATCAGAAATGTGTCATGTTCCACAGTGCCTTGTCTGTTGGATGCAGAGGAGAGAGTGTAGTGATCATGGGTGGTAAAGGAGAGCAGGGGTAAAAGGAGAAATATCTCCTCTTTTTCTGCAGAGGAAACCTAGGACATTGCTGAACCCAGCACCCACCTCTCCAACAACCAGTACCCCAGAGCCAGACACAAGCACTGTGCCCCAGGATGCTGCTACAATCCCCAGCTCTGCCATGCAGGCTCCCACAGGTAAGGAGGGTCTTGGACCACATTCTTGACAGGATTGCACAGTTAGGAGCTGCAGCAGGCAGGCAGCAACACCCTGAGAGAGTCCCATTTCTTCCTAAGCCTGTAAACCAGCAATCCTTACCACTCCAGAAAGGCTGGCCTGAGAGAGGCACATGAGTCCAGAGCAGCTGTTCATTTTTCTTTCTGTTGGAAATAATGAAGTAGGAAGATTGCAAGCCCACCTGTTGAGTGCAAAGACCCTTCCCCCTGCATGCTGGTGACTCCACAGCTCTCCAGATACATTTGTGGTCCATTGTGCCCCAGGGCAGTCGGGTGTGGAGCATCCCTTGTGAGTCCCGAGTGTGAGCTCTCTCATACCATGCAAGGCACAGCTGCTGGAACTGCACAAGGGGCAGAGGAGGTGCTGAAGGACTGTGATCTGCCGAGCTCCAGACAGGATATCAAGGCACACAGGGACAGGAGGGAATAGGGGAGGAGGAGGAGCAGCAGTGAAGAGTGTATGCACTGCTACAGCTGAGGATGAATCTGGCCAGGAAGGTCTAATGCAAAGCTGCTTTTGACATGTTGAGTCAAGCACTGGATATGGGCTGAGCCCTCTGTTTCCCCAGAATGTAATTGGCCAGTTTTCAGAGGAACCTAAAGAAGCCAGTTTCCCTAAAAAGGAAACGCTGTGGGAACCCCTAGAAAGTGGGGGCTGCATTCCTTCTTCCCTCTGAACATCACAGCCACCTTACATGGCTGGCATGGAAGCCACTTTACAGCCTGACTGCAGGGGAGAGCATGGGAGAAACAGCAGCAGTTTGGAAGGTGAGCATGAGGCAGGAAGATTTTGGAGGGGATTCCCCTCTAGAAGCGGCTCCACTGTGAGGATGCAGTCAGGCAGCCATGGTGGATTCCTTTGTGAGTGATTGGACAGTCTTAAAATCTCAGCATCTCTCAGGTTGGATTTTAGGCATCTGTTTCTTGCTTTCTTGAGTGGGTTAACAGCAAACACATTTCTCATCTTGGCAGTTTGCATTTACTTGAACAAGAACGGCAGCACTGGGCCCCACCTAGACAAGAAGAAAGTTCAGCAGCTGCCAGACCATTTTGGACCAGCTCGAGCTTCTGTTGTCCTGCAGCAAGCAGTACAGGCCTGCATTGATTGCGCTTATCATCAGAAAACAGTCTTCTCCTTCTTAAAACAAGGCCACGGGGGAGAGGTCATCTCAGGTGAGAACGGGCCCGCAGCACTTTGCCTCCAGAGAGGTTGTTGCAAGAATTCTCTCATTGGAAGATGTCTGTCCTGAAGCTCGCTGCCGCCACAGGCCAGGGGCAGACAGAAGAGTTCTGTCTTCTCTTTCTTGCCACACGTCTGTGTCAGTGAAGCAACAGCTGGCAGCTGACTCAGAGCGGAGCAGTTCCCATGGCCCGCGGGCACAGCTGCTGGAGCAGGCAGTGCTCAGTCCTGGCACCAGCCTGGGCAGCAATCCTGCCCCACCGACCGGCCCCCCGCACTGCCCCAGCCCTGGCAAGAGCCACCACAGGGGGGATTCCACAACTGCTCACGGAAAGACAAGAAATAGCCCGGGTTTTATTTCTCCTTTAAGCCCGTGCCTAGCCGGATCTGCGAGCGCAGGCCCCTCCTGGAATCTTTTCCGTTCCCTCGGACGCGGCTCCCCCGGCGCTGCCGCCCCGGCCCCGTGCTGGGTGCAGCAGGCTGGTCCTGGCCTGCCCCGGCAGAGGAAGGCAGTGGCTTTGTTGGCTCTCGACAGCCCAGCGATGCTGAGATCCAGGAGCTGGCTGTGCGGCCCTGGGCGTAGCCTCCCGCCTTGGCGGGGGGTTCACGTGTTGGGCTCTGTTTGTTTCTGTCTCCAGCTGTGTTTGATCGGGAACAGCACACTCTGAACCTGCCAGCAGTAAACAGTATCACCTACGTCCTCCGCTTCCTGGAGAAGCTGTGCCACAATCTGCGCAGTGACAACCTCTTTGGGAACCAGCCTTTCACTCAGAACAGCCACATGCAGCGCTCACACGAGTACGACCACGACAGGTATCTACCAGGTAGGAGCTGGGGCGGGGGCGGCACTCTAGGGACCCAGGTGCTCCGTGTCTTAACTCAGGTTTTATCTCTATCTCTGAAGGCAGGCTCCTGTTCCAGAGCCCTCTCACAGGGTTCGTTACATCACACCCAGTGTCGTGCACATGCCCACAGGGCTCTTGTTGTGTAGGGTTCCAGTCGCATTTTCTGCCTGTCAGTTTGGTTTCCATCTCCGCTGTAGGTTTCCGCTCATCCGTGCTGTCTCCTTGTCTTCCCTCCTCCCCTCGTCCCCCAGTCCTTCCCACTTCCTGTGATCTGATTATGGTGACTTCATCCAGCTAGGAATTCAGGTGAAAGACTGCAGGAGAAGGGAGAGTGATAAGATGCAGCAGGTAAACTGTAATTAGAAATGAATCAAAGCAGAGTGGTTTCCACACTGGCCCTGGATGTGCTGGTAACAGCGTGGCCTGTTCAGGGGTGATGCTCACGCAGTAATCCGAGGCAGAGGTGGTTCTGTTTTCCTTGGCATGGCATTGAAGCAGCTCACCCCAACAAGACAGTTCATGCCACGATGCAGATTGTCAGGCTGCAAAACTGCTCTGAAGTAGAAGCAGTGGAAAACAAGCCCAGCAGTTCCCCCACAGTGCTGGGCAGTGGCAGCAGGCCTGGGGTGATGGCTACCCCACAGGCTGTCTGGGGGTTCTGGGGGAGCTCCTGCTCCAGGAATGTCAATCATGGAGAGGATCAAAGCTGTCTACACTCTCTTAGGTTGACAAGTCCTGATCTCCACTCCAGTCTTGCTTCCCCCTCTAGTCAGCAAATAGATCTTGTGTTGTTTGAGGTCTTTCCAAAGTTAATCTTTTGCATAATTATGGTTCTGGCAAGAAAAGCAAAAGTTGTATGAATGTAAAAGGATGGGCACTTAGGAAGAACTGTTTAGAGAGAAGTTGCTAAGCATGAGGAGTAGGAGCAGCAGCCAAATGCCACAGTGCTTCCATTCATTGCACCTGACAAAGCACCTTAGGCAGAGTCTGGAGAGCAAGAGGATCTTCCCATCCTCTGCTTCCTCCTGGCTGGAGCCAGCAGGGCCAGGAGCAGAGGAGCTGTAGCATATGCAAGGACAGGAGCAGCATGACTAGTTACTGGGACTGGAGGCTTTCCCCTGAGGAACCCTCAAATAGAAAAAATCCCCATGTTTCAGTGTGGAGGTACCCTGTCATCATGAGAGAGAGGATGAAGGAGGGAAAGCACCCAGCTCTGGGCATGGATGAGCTCACACACAGAGTTTCCAGCCTCCATGAGAGGTCAGTGATGGCTGTGCCAAGAGTTGGGCTGCTGGGCAGAGTGGAAAAGTATAAATCAGAATTCAGGGAAACTCAGGCAGAGCACCAGATCTGACACAATGTTGTGATCTGTCCATCATGAACTCTTATTCAGAGTGTTTGCAGCACTTAAAGAAAAATTAACCCCAGTCAGAGGTGTGACAGCACCTAGTCCTGCAGTTCATCCTGATGTCTGAGCTTCTTGGGCATCTGCTCATGTAACACCTTTCTCAGGCACCTGAAAGAAGGTGCTGATCCACACATTACAGTGCTTCTGGTGATGGCAGGGAAACAGTGCTGGTGATTTTGGGAAGTTTGAGCTGGTCATGGAGGAATGAGGGTGGAGTTGTACATCCTTCAGTCACACCAGATGTCAGGGCTGCTGTGGTCTCACCTTCAGCTCTGCATGTCCTGCCTTGTTTCTTCTCCAGTACAGGAATGTGTTGTATGGGGCTGGTTCTTCCAGTAAATGGCCACTGGTTGGGACTGGGAGCTGGTCAGAACAAAGTGGCTTTGCAGGAGCACCCCTGTGGGTGCCATGGAGAATTGGGGTGTGTGCTTGGGCCAGAGGGAGGGTCTGCAGTGTCCCTCAGGTCAGCAGTGGCCTGCCATTCTGCCTTACTGAGTCAGTGGAAATGAGGAGGAGCAGGCTGAGTTGTGCATCAGGAGCAGCCTTTGCAGGGAACTGAGCAGCTGCTTGCTGTTCACAGCACCATGAACATGATGTGACCTGGAGCTGTCTGAAACACAGGACTGGAGGGACCTTCTGGGCCACAGAGCCGTGGCTCCTGCTGCTACACCACCACAGCACATGGAGTTTCTTGGATTAACTCTGGAGTTGTGGATTTTGCTTTTCCACTGAGGCTGCTCCGGGGTTTTATGGTGATATTTTAGGAACTACGTTGTAATTTCCAGCCCTAATTTATTCTTGGGCAACTTGGGGTCTGTGTCTCCTGGTCTTAATGTTGTCTTTTAGTTAAACTTGGTTCTCTTTCTTCTGGAAGTAGTTGCAGAGCAGTTGTAGCCCTCAGAGGAGTTCATCTTTTCACTGCTTTTTGCTCTCCTCAGACAGTGTTGGTTTGACTTAAATCTCATTGTGTGGCCAGAGTGCCACTCAGCACTCTGGGGAGGAGCTCATGGGGTCCTGGTGCCACAGCAGTGGCATGATCACAGGAAATGTCTCTGCCGTCACTTTGGGTCACTGTGTCTGTAAGAGGTGGTGATCAGCCTGTCCTGGTCACATACACCATTCTTCTCATCCCCTGTTGTCACCTGCAGGTCACATGGGACAGTGCACATCTGGTCTTTTAGTTAAACTTGGTTCTCTTTCTTCTGGAAGTAGTTGCAGAGCAGTTGTAGCCCTCAGAGGAGTTCATCTTTTCACTGCTTTTTGCTCTCCTCAGACAGTGTTGGTTTGACTTAAATCTCATTGTGTGGCCAGAGTGCCACTCAGCACTCTGAGGAGGAGCTCATGGGGCCCTGGTGCCACAGCAGTGGCACCACCATGGTCACAGGAAATGTCTCTGCCGTCACTTTGGGTCACTGTGTCTGTAAGAGGTGGTGATCAGCCTGTCCTGGTCACATACACCATTCTTCTCATCCCCTGTTGTCACCTGCAGGTCACATGGGACAGTGCACATCTGGATTTAGCTGCTGGATTTAGCTCCTTGCTGGTTCTTGGTTCTGTATCTATATCCTTCCTGCCCGATTTTAAATCCTGCTTTGTCTGACCTGACATGGGAAGACATCAGCAGATTTCAGTAGTAATCTCTAAAATTTCTGCCAAAGTTATTGCAGTGATTAAATGACCCTGGCCTCAAGGGTGATCCTCAGACAGATTCACTGGCACTTGCCCCCAGTCTCATGTTCCTTCTGTGTGCTGCCAACAGCTTTACCTCTCAAACCAGATTTCTGTGCATAGAACAAGGCTCCTGGTAATTCACCTTCTGTCTCAGCTGGTGCATAGAACAAGGCTCCTGGTAATTCATGTTTTGTCTCAGCTGGTGGCTCTCTGTGTGTAACATCTTGCTGAATTCCAGGTGTATGAGGTTGATTTCTCTTCCCTCATGTGATGGATGAGGATTTCTCATCACAGGGAGGCTATTGGGTTGCCCTCTGATGAACACCTGCCATAGAATGTGCCACATGTGTTTCCTGCCCTTTCCTTCACAGCCTGCCACAAGCCTTGTGGTGCTGCTGAGGTTAGACACGAGCATTTTATTGTAAAAAATCTTTTTTCCACATTTTTTTTCAAATACTGGCACCACATTTCACGTGACTCTCAGTAATGCAGTAGTGAGTTCTGTTAGAATTTACTGCAGCAGACCCAGAGTTCCAGGTGCACTGTCATTCTTGGCTTCCTCTGCACCCTTAAGTCTCCAGTTTGAGGACATCCAGTTGTGTGACTTGGTGGTCAGTCAGTGGTGGATATTTTTGTTCCTGTCCTGTTTCTTTTGTCCTTAGAGCCTTGCCCCCAGTGCTCAGCATGGCTGCAGCTGGAAGTGAATGGTCTGGGTTGGAAGAGACCTTAAAGCTCATCTCATTCCCCTCCCTGCCATGGCAGGGACACCTTCCACTGTCCCAGGTGGTTCCAAGCCTCATCCAGCCTTGGACACTTCCAGGGATCCAGGGGCAGCCACAGCTTCACTGGGCACCCTGTGCCAGGGCCTCCCCACCCTCAGGGGGGACTTCTCTTCCATAAATCCAGTCTAAATGTACCATCTCTCAGCATACAAGTGCACTGAGTGCAGGTGGATGTCACAGATGCATCAACACCTGAGCCAGGTGTGTAGGTGTGCTCTGCAGCCAGGGAGGAGGTGCCAGTGCAGTCAGTGCAAGGTGCATTGTCCTAAATTAGAAGGCCTGAGTGGGCTGACAGGATGAGGTGAGTGACTGTCACTGCTCATGAAGGTGTCCTTGCTGATGGCCTTGGGGTGGCCCACAGCACCATCCAGGCACAGGCTGCTCTTCCCCCCAGCAGCCTCCCAGGGCAGGGGAGGTGAAATATCCCTCCCAGCTGTCCTGTCATTTGGAGGCAAGGACAGCCCTTGCCTTTTCTCTCAGTCCTCACCTTTCTGCAGTGTCCCCTCACTCTGTTCCTTCTGTAGCTGAAACACAAGCTCATTTTTGCCTTTGCACTGTTTCAAAACACAGAATGAGTTAAAAACTTCCCTTCATCCCTGCACTCCCCATCCTGAGGTGCACAGCTCCATGCTGGTCAGGGCCTTTTTATCCAAGGAAATGATCTGCTTGTTCTCAGCATCCTTCTCAAAGTGAGCATTTATCCACTGAGATTTGAGGTCCTTCCCTCTCAGATTATTTCCTCTTTGATGATACACATTCATGAGGTTTATGTCATTTTTGGACTGAAGACATTTTCCTTTTATTCCTGATAATCTGAGTACAGCTCTGTCTGTTACCCCATTTCTTTATTATCATAAAACTTGTCCTTTAAAAACAATTCCATTTTTGGTTTATCCTCTCATTAATTTACACCAACCTCACTTCTGATTCTTAGGATTAACTTCTATAACCTGACCTGCTGTGTTTGTATTACTTTTAACATCAACCACTTAAAAAAAAAAAGCCCAAACCAAAACCTGATGAAACCTTTGTAAAGCATCACCTTGTGTTGTGGTTCTGTGGCTGTTGGGTGAAGAAGGTTGTGCAGTTTGACACAGGGCTATCCAGAGACATTACCAAGAGCGTGTGTTCCCTCTTGAGTGTTCCTTACAGGGACTTGTCCTGAGGGTGGAATTTGTTTTTCTGGCAATGTCACAGTGATTTTTGGTGATACTCCTATGGAGTCCCAAGGCCTCAGTGCAAGCAGCTCTTTCATTTCCCTGAAGGATATTGATTGAACAGGTAACTTCTCTACCTTTGTGTTTCTCCTTAATCAACTCAGCCGTGCCCATCTGGTGCTTCCCCCCACCTGTCCCTCCGTTTGTTGGCATTCTGCATCTCCCTTGGTGTCACTCCCGTTGCTCCCCGCCGTACCTGTGTCCCCTCCTGCCCCTGCTCCTGCCCTGTGCCAGCTCTCAGGGCTGCTCTGGGCTGGTGGTGGCTCCTGGCACTTGTGCAGGAGCATTTCACCCCTCTGTGCCCACCCCAGGAGCGCTGCGAGCTCTCACGTGTCACCTGGGCTCAGGGTGGCTGCAAGGGCCCAGCTGGCACCTGCTGGTCTGTGTGGGGCAGCGGGAGGGTCACCTCAGCTGGGACAGGTCTGCCACCCCTGTGTCACTTACCTGGCTGCTGTCCCATCAGTGTCAGTGCTTCCATTCCTTGTCCATCCACCCGTGTGTGCAGAGATGTCCCAGCCCATCCCAGTGTCCTGTCTGCTGTGCAGGATGTGGAGAGTCCCATCCTTGGCATGAGTTTGGAGAGGAGCAGCAGTGATGTGCCTGGGGGCTCCACGGAGGGGGGAGATTGAAAATGGGAGTAGGGTTTAATCCAGCACTGGGTATGGCACACAGGAGTTGCAAATCATCCGAGGCTTGTTTGCTAGTTGTCCAAGGGTTATGTGCATCTGACATATGGTGACAGTGGGATCAGCAGGAATTGTGTGGGATGAGCCATGAGGAGAAATGGAATTAAGTCAATTAGAGGTGCTATTTGGGTGAAATGTGGCAAAACATGGCTAAGATTCTTTGTTAGTTTTCTCACCACCCTTTTTCTCTGGTAAAACCTGCTCTGTTGAGCCCTGCCAGATGTGCTGAATTGCAGCTTGAACAGGTGGTGGGTGCCCAGGCTGGAGATGCACACATGGCTCAGGGGACTCTGTCAAGACTGCATTTCCCAAGATGTCTCCACTCCTAAAGAAATCCCCATGTTTCAGTACCCTGTCATCATGAGAGAGTGCAAAACCTGAGTGAGAGGGAAGGCACCCAGCTCTGGGCATGGATGGGCTCACATGCAGAGTTTCCAGCCTCCATGAGAGGTCAGTGCCAAGAGCTGCTGGGCAGAGTGCAAGAGTATAAATCAGAATTCAGGGAAACTCAGGCAGAGCACCAAATCTGACACAATGCTGAGACCTGCCCATCCTGAACTCTGATTCAGAGTGTTTGCAGCACTCAAAGAAAAATTAACCACAGTCAGAGGTATGACTAAAGAGGGCTTGTTCTCTTTCCTAGACAGAAGCAGTTCCTTAGACGGCTCTCTGCAGGGACCAGGCCGGGGTACAAAGCGCTTTTCCCAAGATCCCCCTCCATACAGTGCTCCTCTCTCCCCCAAGTTACCAAAGAATGACCGTCACCCTTTGGAAGGTGAGCACAGCGTGTCTCTTCCCAAAGCTGGCTGTTCCCAGTGCCCTGTCCTGGCTGCTGCACGGTCACATCTGCCGTGCCAAACCGAGCCGTGGCTTCAGGGAGCTGCTCTGCTTGTCCCTGGCATGGGTTGTGCTTGGTATTCCAGAGGGGAGTGGATGAGCTGCTCTGTGGTGAGCCAGGTTCCCCACACAGATGTGGCAGGCATGTGGAATGCAGCAGGATTTCCTTCTAACCCTGACATTCATCATCTCACAGTGTATAACCTGGTTTAGCTTCCCTCGCTGTGCATGGGATTAACAGTGCTCAAACTGCCCAGCTGCCTCAGTCAATCTGCCCCTGGATTTGTGGATTTTTCCCTGAGGGTTTGCTGCAGCCTGTTGTACAGATGCTGATGTGCAGCTGTACCCCAGGAACTCGCTGCCCTTTCCCAGGATCTCATCTTGTCCCTCACAGGCCTCCCTAAAACAGCTGGGGGGTGTCACTGGCTCCACCAGCTCAGCCACACCATTCCCATCCCGCACTGCTGCTCCTCCCCAGAGTCCCTCCGGATGCACCTGGTGCAGAAGCAGGAATGACCACTTTTATTCCTTACTAAGCACAGGGACACTTAAAACCCTTCACAGCTGGGATGCAAGTCAGCAGCAGAATTCATCTTCCCAGGAAGAGGCAAAGTTTGCCCAGTTCATTTTATGAGCTCAGTTATTTTAGCTGTGGGATCCATGGGTGACCCTTGCATGCACAGGTGGGAGATTTCCAGAAGATCCAGGTAGCTGGAGGACTCCCTGAACTGAGTAATCTTCAATAAATACACTCCCACTTGTTCTGAGCTGCAAACCCTTCATACAGCTGGGGGGTGTCACTGGCTCCACCAGCTCAGCCACACCATTCCCATCCCGCACTGCTGCTCCTCCCCAGAGTCCCTCCGGATGCACCTGGTGCAGAAGCAGGAATGACCACTTTTATTCCTTACTAAGCACAGGGACACTTAAAACCCTTCACAGCTGGGATGCAAGTCAGCAGCAGAATTCATCTTCCCAGGAAGAGGCAAAGTTTGCCCAGTTCATTTTATCATGAGCTCAGTTATTTTAGCTGTGGGACCCATGGGTGACCCTTGCATGCACAGGTGGGAGATTTCCAGAAGATCCAGGTAGCTGGAGGACTCCCTGAACTGAGTAATCTTCAATAAATACACTCCCACTTGTTCTGAGCTGCAAACCCTTCATAATGAAGACTGAAGATTTTATCTTACTGAGGCTTTTAATTAATGGATGGTGAAATCTGCCAGCGTGTTAGTCACAATTCTTTGTGACTGAAATCCCTGAAAAATTGCTGGAGACTCCTGGGCAGGCTCCTAGTTCAGTGGCTTCATGCTCTCGTGCTGTCCTTTTAGAATCCCCTTTTCCCTGGTTTTGTTGGGGTTGCTTTTCCCTGGTGTGAGTGCCCAGCCTGGCACCACTCTGGATGATTTTGGTTTGTGTCCATCACTGCAGAATCACTCACCCTGCCTCTAACACAGCTGCTCTGAACTTGCCCAGAGCAGCTGTGGCTGCCCCATCTCTGGAGTTTTCCAAGGCCAGATTGGACAGGGCCTGAAGCAACCTGGGACAGTGGAAGGTGTCCCTGCCATGACAGGGGGTGGGACTGGATGGGCTTTAAGGTCCTTCCCAACCCAAACCATTCCATGGTTCTCTGGTGGACAGTAATTAAAACTGTTATGTTTGTTACAGAGGTGGTGTGTGGCAGTGCCTCATCTATTCCAGCATGCTGACAGGTCAAAAACTGTTCCCAGAGGCCCCTTCTGTTCCTCATCTCCAAATGGGTGCTGGTCTCCTTGATTCCCCTCTGATGCATCAGCCACTGCACTGGGTAACTGCTGGCGCAGCCCAGCCCCTCCTCTCCCCCAGCAGGTGGGACATGCAGTGTTCAGCCTGTTCCTAAAGAACTGGATTGCTCCAGAGGTTCAGATGCCTTGCTTGGGTGGTGAATATTGCCCACTCTGTATTGTCAGTGAAGAGAGAAGGCTTCCATAATGGGTAATTCCAAGGAGGAGCCTTCATTAAGTTTCTACAAGACTGATTCTTAATCTGCTTCAAAGTCTGTTCAGTTATCCCTTGGCCTTGGAGTGGGTTGTGCCATCTGGATGCCAGAATTCTCCAGCCTCTTCCAGAAAAACTCAGACAAATGGGCAGGAAGTGTGTCTGCATGTGAGGGGTGATCCTTCCTGCAGCAGCTTGGTCTGGTTCTGTTCTGCATCCAAGCAGGGAGCAATGAGGTGCAGTTTCAAAATTCCATCTAGAAATTCATTCTTATCCCGCAGCTAAAAGCTGTAATGAATACATCTTCCTCCACCATGAAACTGAGGTTCAGGCAGGAATATTTGCATTTTAGAGGATATGTTTTAAGAATATGCACCTGAAATACTCAGATATTGAGTATTTCTTGAGCAAGGTACATCTTCTCATGGGAATGAGCTCTGTCTCAGACAGCAGCTCCTGAGCACATCCCAGTTTGCCGTGTGGAAGGCTGTGAGCAGCAGTGGGACATCTCCATTCACTCTGCATTTGGCAAGAAGCAGAGACATGAGGAAGGGATCTCACGTATTACATTGTTTTTCCTCTTGCATCCAGTGGTGTTTGTGTGGCTTTTTGCTGAAACACTGCAGTCCCAGCACAGTGGGGACCTGCCTTCACAGCCCATCACTTGCTGGAAGCAGTGGGTGTTCAGGAGTAGTGCAAATCACATTTGTGCTTGTGGCCAAACTCCCGTGTTTTAGCAGTAAAATGACACTGTTGAGTCTGTAGCACTATTTGTTTAATTAAACTTTAATTATCTGCTCCCTGCCTCTCCGCCACTAATTGTGGCATGTTTCCCTACAATGTGCCAACTGCCAGCCTTTAGTTAAATCCAACAGTTTGTGTAAGGAATTCTGCCTAAGGATCAGCCACCTCCTCCTCCCATTCTGGTTATCAAGGGTGAAGGATCCTGGATCTTGCCTGAGTGCAGTTGTGCCCTGCCACTTGTAGGAGTATCTTGTCTACAGATGATTCCCAGGGGCAGCAATCATTCCCCTCTTGCCTCATCTCTTTCTACCTTCCCTGGAGGTATCACTCATTGAGCAGTTCCCTGTGTACTTGTATTTTTAGGAAAACCCTCACTCCCTCATGCACTGAGCTTGCCACAGAGCCCCCAGCTCTGCTGCAGAGTTAGAGCCCAACCAGGCACTCCTCTGTGCAGGGAGAGGGAACCTGGGGATCACTGTGTGCCTTCAGTTTTAGCTCCTGGGCAAAAACACATCGTGTCCCCAGGGCTTCACCCGTGGCCCCGGGTGTGTGATCACCAGCGTGTGAGAACAGGATCACATATTTGCAGAATGCATCACAGCACATTCCTGTCATGACAGTGTTCATTGTTGAGTGAAGTAATTGCTGAGGGTGAATTCTGGATCCTCAGCCTTGCACTGACAGGAGCCTGTGCATGTGCTGTCCCAGAGTGGGCCCTGAAGTTCCTTCTGCTGACAGCAGTCGGTGCTGTGAGAGCTTTGGGGGTTTTGGGAGCACTCAGACACGTGTGTTTGCATGACCCAGCACATCTGGGTGAGTGTCCCAGGACTTCCTGGCAAGCTGAAGCTCTCTGTCACCTCAAAAGGTGCTGGCATTCCTTGGAGGGTTGAGATGCACAGCTTGGACCTGTTCCCATGCCCACAGCCACTGTCCTGTGACTGCTCAGAGGGCTGTGCCCACTGACCCCTCTCCTGCCTCTGTCCTTCCCTGGCAGTCAGCACCCTTCCCCAGATGTTTAATGGGAAGTGTTTTGGGGTTTAAACAGAACTGTCCTGTTGGACAGGAGACCAAATGTAGTTGCGTGGAAGCAGCTGCAGTGGAAACCCACTGGTGTAAGTGACACCCACAAGAGGGTCTGGCTGGGCAGGGGATCTCCACCCAGGCCAGGCCAGGCCAGGGCAGGGCAGCCAGCTCTGGTTTGCATCCAGTCTGGGGCTGAAATACAATGGTGGCAGTGCAGGAGGGATTTGGAGTTATTCAGGAATAGCCATGAGTCGGCAAACCATTTTTTATGTATCCAGGTCAGGTGAGAACACACTTGTCCATGCAGGAAGAGAGTGACAAGTGGGCCAGCACTGCACAGGTCACCAGGGGTAACAGGCCACACCAGCAGTTTGTACATGAGATTTTAAGGCTGTGCTGCTGTTTCTGAGCACATCCCAAAAACCTAAAAGGAAACAAAGGCAGCAGTGCCTCAAGTGCAGAGTGGCAAAGCCCTGGGGTGGGAACAGCAATTACCCAGTGACAGCCCCACACTGAGCTGGCCAACAGCCAGACGAGGGTGTTCCCACTTCATGTCCTTACAGTGTGAAGCCCTGGCAGGTCAGGGTCAGCTGAGCTGGCCTCTGGAGCTCTGCTCAAACACAGGCACCAGGACAGGAGACCAGAAGATCCCAGCTGTCACAATAGTGCCACAGTTCACAGAAAGCAGAGCAGATAAGGTGTAGCAGCCAGGAGAGGCTGCCCCAGTCAGTGATACCCAACATCTGCAGCACTTGGGAACCACTTCAGGCTCTGGCAAGCTGCACTTGCCTTCACTGGAGCATGGCAGCATCAGCTCAGCAGGGAACTGGGGCAAATCTCAGCAGCTTCTGGGTCTCACAGGCTGCAGATCCTGCACCCTCGCCATGATCCCAGTCAGCCCAGCAGTTTTGTGGTGGCTTTCATCTGCTGCTCCTGTAGTCTGGGAAGTGCCAGGGAAGAAACCCAGGGCCTGGCCAGTGCTCAGGCTTCCTCAGCCTGGTGGGCTGCCATGGTGTTCAAGTGGCAGCAGCTCAGGGCTGTGAGCTGCCCTCAGGGCCCCTCAGATTCTGATGGAGGAGCTGCAGCTCCCAGCCATGTGTGCTGGCACTGCACAGGCAATGCCCCTTGCTGTGGAGCTGCTTCCCTCCTTGCAGGTGTTTCATCATAAAGAGCACAGGTGTTTGAGGGTGGCTCCTGAGGCACAAGGACCACCTGGGCTGAGACTCAGTTGTGCCATAGTGAGAACCTGCAAAGGTGGCCCTGCAGTGGAGCTGTCACAGTGTAACAGCAAAGGCAGATCTTGCTGCTCAGCCAATGCAGCCTGTCACCCTGGACAATCTCCTCAGCCCCTCCATCCCAGTAGTGCCACAGACAGCTGCAAATTCACTGCATTTCTGCAGAAATGAGGAAGCCACCATTGCTCTGATACCCTGCCTGGGAAGGGTGTTAGAGGCCCAGGCACTCCTGTGCATGTTGCAGTACAGAGAGTTGCCCTCTGATGTGGTTAGGCTGGAAAAGGGCCCAGCAGGAGCCCAGGAGGGATGAGCAGCTCGTCACCAGCATGTTGTTTTTGGGGCCAGAGGAGCAGCACAGTGTGGGAGCATTGCCTGGCCCTGATGGCACAGCTCCCTCCTGCTCTGCACGTGTCTGCCACCCCAATGCCAAGCAGCAGGGCCGTGCCCTTGCATGCTGATGCTGAGGATGTGCAGTGTGTGACCCTCGGGGAGCATCTCCTCCCCTTCCTGTTCAGGCCTGTCTGTGAGTCCTGTGTCCATTGGCATCCAGAGGGGACACCCTGCCCTTCCCCACGGTGCTCCTTGGCCACCGAGGGGCCCAGGGCAGTCAGGGCTGGTGATGGCATGAGCAGAGCAGCTGAAAAAAAGAGCTTCTGCTCCAGTCTGAGACCATTGTCACTACACTGGTTGGACTGGCATTGGCAGTTGGTGACACCATTTGCAGACTGGCAGCTGGTGAATCCCAGGGCTGTGGCAGGGCCGGGTTTGATCCCTGTGATCCCTCACCCTGTGGGGTGAGGCCAGCCAGGGGTTGGAGCCAGCGAGCGCTGCCGCGGCTCTGCCCCGCACGGGAGCGCGGGGCCGTGGCGTTCGGGTGCACTAACTGCAGCTTGGTGCATTCCAGGTGAAACCTTTGTCCTGGGAGATGGCCTCCCAGGGCCCTTAGAGCCTCGCCTGGACCCCATGGACTCTGCCTTGAACTCTGTCAATTCATCCAGCCACAGCAGGAGCTCCAGAGACTTTCGCCTGCCAGGATACAGGCACCTGCACCAGCCCTCTAGCCTCAGCCAGGGCAGCACCTCTGCCCTGGGCAGGCTTAGCTCTGGGGGTAAGAGCTCAGACAGCCCTGCAGCTGTAAATTGGGCAATGAAGGACTATTCTAACTCCAGTCACACCTTTCTGACTTCAGCAAGTGCCAGAGGCTGGGCTCTGCACAGCCAACCAGGTCTCTTAGGTGTGATGGCACCTGGCAAATGGCAGTCTGGACAGGTGACATTTCTCCTTTGGCTGGTGACTGGGTGGACCTGGAGGTCAGTGGGGAGAAAGAATCAGGCAGGAGCTGAACTGTGTCCAAGTGATAAATGGGTGTCTGAGTCCAGAAGGATGGAGTGGGAATGGCTGGAGAGTCAAAAGTTGCCTGGTGGGGCTGGGAACATGGTCAGATGCTTGAGTGGCATCTCTCTGTATGGGGGAAGAGGGGCAGGAGAGCTGAACTGCTCATTGCAGCATGCGGGGTTGCAAATAATGTCATTTTAGGTGCATGGCATCAGTAAAAGCCTCTGAAAAGCTCAGGCTGTTGGTGCCTCCCACACACATTTTCAGGCAGAGCTGAGACAAGGGGCTGTGCATGCTGGGAGCAGGACTTGTGCCAGCTCAGGCTGTGCCTTTGGACAGTGGGAGGTCACCTGTGGGTTCAGTCCATCAGAAGATGCAGCCAGTGAAAACATAAGCCAGCTTTGCCGTGTTGAATGTGCTAAAGGGGTTGGGAGGGCAGGAGGAACCGTGCCTGGGGAGAGATGTGGGAATGGCAGGGGGGTTCTGCTGAGGTGGGAAGTGTCTGCCCATGGGCAGGGAGGAGTGGGAGCTGGGGCCAAACAGCGGAGTGGAGATTGAGAGTGGGGACAAGGGCTCAGTATAGAAGGCTGCCCTGAAAAGTCAGGCCTAAGGAGAGGGAATAAGGCTTGGGTGCCAGACCTGCACCACAGGAATCTGGGACGTGCCCCTTGCTGTGTCTCTGCCCTGCTGTGGGAGAGGAGCTGAGTGGGGGACTGAGGGGGAGTGCCAGGGAGCCCCAGTAACGGAGCTGTCTGCTTCCCCAGGCTCCGACAGGTACCTGGGCTCCCGGGACAGCTCCCGGCTCGGCAGCCGTGACCCCTCGTCCTGGACGGTGGAGGAGGTGATGCAGTTCATCCGCGAGTCAGACCCGCAGCTGGGCCCCCACGCCGACCTCTTCCGAAAGCACGTGAGTGCCACGGCTCCTCCGTGTGCTTGGGGCTGTGGTGCAGCTGGGAGGGGGCACATCCCACAAACAAATCCACGAGTCAGAACACAGCAGCACTTCAGAGCAGGTGTGGAGGTCCCAGTTGTGGGTTTCTCTGGGTCTGGGTTGAAGGCACCTCAGTTCATGTTTGGACTCAGGTGTTTATTATTTCTTACCAGTAAAACAGTCTCACTACTGTGAGTTCAGCAGCTTGTCAGTAGAAGATACAAAATGGCCAACAACCTCTTGTTACAAGGTCTTTTAAGACTAAACTGTCCAATTAAGAACTGACACCTAGATTATTTTCCCTTTTAACCCAATAACTGATCCCAAAGAGCTGTAGTGTGGACTTTTCTGCCCAATTACAAAATGCCACCCAGACCCATGAAGAAGGGTCATGAAGAAGAAGCATGAAGGAGAAACCCAGGACAACACCCTGTGCCCTCCGTCTTGGTCCCATCCACAACACATTAAAAATCCCAAAACCTAAATTTCTCACCAAGTGATACACCTACACTACTCTCTATAATCTATTTCACACTTTTGTGGATTCTAGTCTATCTTGAAGTTTAGGAAGCTTTCTCCATGAATGAGGGTCAAAGTCAGTGCTCCCCTGGGGGTCAGGGCACCCCAGAGCAGACAGAGAAATATTCCCAGTGCTCTGGGTTTCCACACAGATGGAGTTTTGTGCTTAATAAAAAGATCCTCATAAATCCTGCTCATGCCCTGTCTGAGCTTGGATCCTCCTCAGAACCCCTTGGGGGCAGCCTGGGTGCATACAGAGCCTCTGCAGTGAGTCCCAGTGCTGAAAACACAAACTCTGCTCCTCCTGAAGCCTAATACTCCCCTCGTGGCAAATTTCTCCTGGCAAGAAGCACATTCCAAGTGGGATTCAGAGAGTGCATTGCTGCTCAGCTCCTGTAACAGGGAGTCTCCTAAGGCTCTGGTCCTTGTGCACATCTGTAAGTGTGAAACAGCTGCAGACACAACATGGAGTTTGTAGCATTCCAGCTACAAGAGAGGTTTGGCAGCTGTGTGTCCTGAGCCCTGCAAGAGCTGTGTTCCCTCTGCCTTGTGATAAAGTCCATGTTCTGGGGGTGCTCATGAAGAGCAAACACCCAGCACTGTGTCCTGCTCTGGGCTGGGCTGACCCAACACTTCTTTTTTTCATTTGTTCTAATTTAGAAATACCAGTAATTGAGATATGTTTGTTTTAATTATGAAAAGCTGCCAAGAGACAGAAGTGCCCTTGATTGTCAGTCCTGAGGAGAACCTTGTTTTTGTCTGTGGAAGGGAAAAACAGATCAAACCTGGCACTGGAGATCCTTGGAGATCTCACCAACCTGAAAGCAACTGAGCATTGACATAGGACAGGATTTTCTGTTGCTTGAGGTTGTAACTTCTATTTTTCACTTAAAAGCCAATTAATGTTTTCTTCATGGAAAACTGTCATTTGCAAAGCTCTGGACCCAGCCTGGACTGGGTCATGGACAGGAGCGCTGCAAGGGACTGGGAGACTTCCACTTGCAAATGCCAAGTGCAAAGCTGTTTCCTGGTTATTCTAAGCTCCATGATCCATCCCCTCCTTACTCTCAGGAGGGACACATCTGGCTCTGCTGTAAAGCATCAGATGCTTTGAAAGCTGCTGTGTTGGAATCAGCCCCAGGGGGGATGAGGAGCTCCACCACGCTCTGCCAGTGGCTGGGAGTGTGCTGTGAAGCTCCAGAAATAGAACCACAGAATCATTCAGGTTGGAAAAGCCCTCTGAGGTCACACAGTCCAACATTGCCCCAGCACTGCCGAGGCCACCACTGAACCATTTTCCCAAGTGCCACATCCACATGTTTTTTGGAACACTTCAGGGATGGTGCTTTCAACCTCTGCCAGTGCCTAACCACCCTTTCAGGGAAGAAATTTCTCCTAATATCCATTCACAGAGCACAGGCTCTTTGGGCTTCAGGATCTGTTCCCTCACCTCCATCTCCAGCCATGACATCAGGGCTGTGTGTGTCTCAGCAGGGCTGTCACCATCACCACATGCTCTGCCAGATTTCTCCTGCCCTGGAGTGAGCCATTGCTCCCCTGCATTGCCACTGCCTCTGTCATTCCCCTGGCAGGGAAACCTCCCTTTTCCTTCCTCCCCTCCCTTCAGGATGTGCTGGTCCTCTGGAATGGCTCCTGGATGTTGATCACTCAGCAGAACTCCCATCACACACATGGGCCCAGGGCTGCAGCAGGGTGGATGTGGGACTACCTGTGCTGTTCCTACCGGGGTCTCCATTCTGGGGTCTCCATACTGAGGTCTCCATACTGGGGTCTCCATACTGGGATGTCCCTCTGGGATGCTGCTGAGCAGGGCTCTCTGACCCAGCCCTGCTGTTGCATTTTGGGCCTGGCCTGGCCCAGGCAGGGCTGGGGCTCCCAGGTCACCCCATCACAAGCACTGTGGTTGATCCCTGCAGGAGATCGACGGGAAAGCCCTGCTCTTGCTGCGGAGCGACATGATGATGAAGTACATGGGGCTGAAGCTGGGGCCAGCCCTGAAGCTCACTTACCACATCGACAAGCTAAAGCAAGGCAAGTTCTGAGAGGACTCCTGGCAGGATGGATCCTGGAAGCTCCGCTCCCGGCCGCCCCACCCGCGCTCACCCGGCACAGGTTCGCATGCACACACCCCCTTGGCCGCCGCAGACGGACACTGCCGAGCCCGGCCGGGCCCTCGGGCCCCGCTGCCCCGCCCAGGCCCGGCAGCGCTCCGGAGGAGCCCGGCACAGCTGGCCTTTGCACCAGACTCAGCTGTGGGCGTTGGAAGCGGAGGCTCTCTTCCCTGCTGCCCAGCCAGCACTTCTCCGTGAGCTCCCGGCCCTGCTTCCCTGGGATGGAGCAGCTCCAGGCAGTGTCCCTGGGGACCGGGTGTTTGCCTCAGCTCCTCCCTGGGCCTGCTGGGGCAGCCCCTGGCACGAAGCCTGCCCAGCCTCAAGGGGCTCGGTGCCCGCAGCCTGCCCTCAGCCCCTGGCACCACAGCGAGCTCAGAGCCGTGAGCAGCCAGCCCTGGCTCTGCCTGCCCCCAGCTCCTGCTGTGGCTCCAGCTGGGCACACCGGGCTGGGAGCCTTTATATTTATTCCAGACTGGGGAGGCCGTGTGGGAGCATGGAGAGAGCTGGGAGAGCTGAGGAGCAGGGCTGGGCCTGGCGTGCCCCTGGGCTGGTGTTGGAGGCTGCCTGGATGCTGCAGGACTCAGCTGATCCTTCTCGCCTTTTTTTTATTTTCTTTTTAATTTGGAAATTTTTTTTTACTAAGGAATAGTCTGTTTCAAACGATGAGATGATTTTTTACCTGTGTTGAACTCGCAACTCTCGGTGGTTTTTAGCCAGAGCTGCTAAGGTTTGTCTTCCCAGGGGCACTCCTGCTCCTCTAGAGTTTTGGTATGTCCCAGCTCAGCGTGTGAGGGTTTTGGGTCTGGCCAGAGCACCCTGGGGTGGTGGCCTGTCCCGGCCTCACTCCTCCTCTGAGGGCTTTGCCCTTCCCGAGGCACCTGTTGGTCTCAGGCAGTTTAATGTATTTATTTTTGATGGCACTTGAGTGCTTCCCGTGGTCCCAGACATGTTTCTGCAGCTGCACGAGGAGTGTCAGAGTGGAGCCACCGGCTGTGCCAGCGCAGTGTCCCCTGGACAGCAGCTGCCAGCTCAGGGCTGCCCGGACCCCAGAGCACCACTGGCACCAGCCTGGCCTGAGCTGGGACAGGGCTGGCGGGACAGGGCTGATGGGGCCAGCACGGGCTGTCCCCAGTGTGTGCCCACACACACACCTCAGCACGCTTCCTCTGCAGTGACCAAAGGGCTGGGACAGAATCTCCACTCCAAGCACTTCCTTGTCCTGCCCCAGCTCACCTCTGCATCCCCTCAGCCTCGAGGGCCTGGCCAGCAGCAGGACGGGCCCCTGTGGTGACCAACCCTCCAGGCTCTTGCACTGAGTCAGGTTTACCCCTAAGGGGCAAAGTTGCAAAAAAAGAAAAAATACCCCAAACCCTAAAGTAATAAAAAGGCAAAATGGCTTTTTGTCCTGTAGCGGGGCTGGGGCTCCGGCTGCTCACGGGGCCCTCAGTGTGACCCGGCCCCCAGCAGGGTCAGCCCGTGCTTTCCTCTGCACTTATTTTACGTTCATTTGTTTATAAATAAAAGGATACCAAGTTCCTCCCCGCGGTTTGTGCACTGATGCAGCACCGGGCTGAGCCCCGGCTGCCCCGGGCAGGGAGGGAGAGCAGGGCCAGGGTGGGGTTGATTCGTGAGGCTGGCAAAGCACATCGTGTCCTCCCTGGGTCCACCAGCCCTTGAGGCACCCCCAGAACCACAGGGTGCTCCCGGGACTTGTCCCAGCAGAGCTGTTCCTGAGCCCAGAGCCAGGGCTGAGGCTGCTCTGGGGACAGCAGTGGCAGCAGTGACAGCCTCACATCACCCCATGGCCCAGGGACACAGCTCTGTCCTCCACCGGACAAGAAACACTGCCAGCTGTGGAGGGGGTGAGACAAACCCTCCTGGGGCAGCTCAAAGCCACTGGAAACCTTTTTCTGCCCTGCAAAGCCTGCAGGCTCAGCCCAGGCTGCCCAGGTTTCTCCAGGGCTGGAAGGAATCTCAGTAACTTCAGACTTTGGGGCTCTACGTCTAACTCCACTTTGAATACAGCTCACAAGTGTTTGCTAGCTTAGAGGGAATTAATTCAAGATTGGGCAGTTTTGTGCTTCAATCCTTTCCTTCCTTCCCTCCCTCCGAGTAGGCAGGAACAGAGCAGGCTCAGGGCTCCTTACTCAGTTTGTTACAAATGAGCATTTAATGACCGAGTCAGTTGCATTTCAGGAGAAAAAAACACAGTTGTGCTGCAGCTGAGGGAGGATCTCACCCTGCCCCAGGACAGCCAGGCCAGGGCAGGCTGGGCAGCAGCAGAGCACTGCAACTGGAGAATTCCTTCCTGCACAACAGCTGGAACTGGCACACGAGGAATGCTCAAAGCTCTCCAGGCTCACAGCAGCTTTACAGGGAATATTTCAAACGACTGAGGATGAAAGCAAGGGGGGTGGGGAGATCACTGGGGAGGGACAGGACAGGGCTTGGTTTTGTGGCTCAGCCAGGTCTCCCAAACTCCACGGAGCTGCTGAAGTCTGAGTGTGCAACATCAGACAAGGGAGACACTTTCCTTCCTTCCTTTCCCCTCAATCAAGGGCCACACAGGACAGGGAACCGAGGCAGTTCAGCCCCCTCATCACCACACAGCTGGACAGCAACACCCACCGGCCCAGGCAGTAACAGCGAGGGGAGGTGAGCCCTTCCCACAGAAACAGCCCCTGCAGGAGGAAGGGCTCCCACTGCAGGAGCCCAGGACACGACTCCAGCGTGGACAAAAAGGCAACAAAAGGCTCTGCTTCAAATCCATAAAAAGCACCAGGAGCTGCTGTGTCCCAGGCCAGGGACACAGTTCAAGGCAGCAGTGGAAGGGGTTCAGTGGTTCACTGTTCTCAGCTCCCCCTTGATGCAAGGGGTCGGAGTTTCCCAGCCCCAGGAGCAGCTCCAGGAGCACAGGGAGGGCTCACAGGGGCCCCTGGCTCAGGGCTTCCCTGGCAGCTTTGTTCTCCTGTCCCCCCAGCCTGATCCCAGTTAATCACATCCCTGCAGTGACACGTCAGCCAGAGCTGAGCATGTTCCAGAGTAACACTATTCCAGGAAGATCTTCCTGGTTACAAATTCATAGTGACAATGAATGAATGCACCAAGAGCACCAGTGCCAAAGGTTTGCAAATGCTACTGAAAAAAAAGACCAAAAATCATCCCCTTCCCCCTTTCCCTGAAAAAAAAAAAAAAAAAAGACCAAAAATCACCCCCTTCCCCCTTTCCCTGAAAAAAAAAAAAAAAAAAAAAAAACAAACCAAAAAGGCTGCATGAAGCTGCCCAGAGCCCTCTCTGCAGCACAGCCCAGCTCAGACACTAAGCCAGCCCCCAAAATCTTGTGCCATCCGTAATTTCACCAATAAGTAAAGACTGAGGAGGGAGCAGAGAGCCTGGAGAAAGCAACTCCACTGTCAGTGTCCAAGGCACCCTGATGCCAAGCACTGCCTGCACATGTGCCATGGGCTTCCCCTCAACACAGCAAATCCCAACCCCAGCTTGCTTTGGCCTCCAAGCTGGTGCAACTGAAAGAACTGAAGGAAGTCTGGAGGGGCCTCTGTGAACTCTCCTCCACAAATAACCAAGATCTATAGAGAGAATAATGGAAGGACAGAAGAGCGGAGGAAATAAGGGACAGGATTTCAGAATAAAAATTATAAACCCATAAATTAGGAAAGCCCAAAGCTGAGGGTGTTGAAGCTACTGCTGTAAGAACACCTGGAAAACCTAATGGAGACTCCTCTCTGCAGCAAGGACACACCTGGAGAGAGAGAAAAGGAGCAGGAATTACCAAGAGGGAAGAGCCACAGGCTGGAACTGCTCAGCACTGGAGGCAGTCTGACACGTGGGCCCTGGCCAGAGCCCCGTGCCCAGCTCAGGGGTGTCTCAGCTCCACAGGGGCACTGTGGCACCCCCAAAGGCACTGAGGTGCCCCCCTGGACAGGGGCTCCTTCCACACAGAGCACAGGAGCCCCTGCCCTGCCCACAGCCAGCACCAAAGCAGCATTTTCACTGTGCTGCAGCCCTAACTAAGAGAGCTGGGCTGACACAAGTCCCAGGACACTGCCACCCTCCCCACAGCTTCCTCATGTGGGGACAGCCTCCAAGCCACCAGACCTGCCACATTAGGGAACACAGGGAATGCTGTCAGTGAGACCAAGGTTCAGAGTATCTTCAGGATCAAAATTTACAGGGAGAATTATTCAGCTGTTGGTGTTGTGGAACAGTCCAACACCCAGCAATCACATCTGGTCCCAGTCCTGTCCCAGGGATGGGGAGCACTCCTGTGACAGACTGGGGCTGGCCCTGCTTCACCCCTGCAGGTCACTCTGGAAGGGGGAGGAGGGAGGGGCTGCACCTCTTCAGGGCCCTGGCACTCAGCAGTGGAGCCCTGCTGTCAGCCCACAGGGGTGTGCAGATGCTGCTCAGCTCCTGCAAAACCCCCTCACAAGCCAGCCAGAGCAGGGGCAGGTCTCACATCCATGATCACCCACTGCACAGAGGGAGGATGCAAATGTAAAGTCTGCCTGTTTTGCTGGTGCAGTCTGAGTGCCAGGTTTTAGTGTCTTCTCCTTCCCAGGACTGGGTACATCCAGTTTTCACATCCCAGTAGCACCTGCAGCCCTTAGAGAGCAGAGCTTGAGCTCTAGGCCTGACAGGATCTGCTGTCCCACGAGATGCACACAATGGATAATTCCAAGATGTTCTTTTACTGTGGCGAGGGACTGCAAAACACTGAATTTCCTAAACCCAGGAACCCCTTGTGCAGCTCTGCCCCCATTTCCAGGACTGTGTGCTCCACTGGTGCTTTTATCCAAATCTAACCCCAAATTCCTGTGTGTGTATTTGTATTTTATTGTGTGTCACTCTGCTAAGGGACACCCATCCCCAGCTGTTGCACAGACAGAGGCAGCACCCAGCCCTCAGCACAGCTGGAACACAAGTGTGAGCAGCAGCACACCTCACGGTGCCCCAGCTTTCTACCAAATAACGTGGCAGTCAGTTGCCACAAGCAAAGACTGGCCAAGAAATGTCTTCCAAAAGGAAGAGGCTGAGATCATGAAACATTACCAGGAATCAGTCGTGGTTTGCTGAAGGGAACTTCAGCTCTGTTATCTCTAGGTCAGGAGAGCTGCTGCCACTCCGGTCACTGTAGGTGTCCCTGCAGGAGTCAAAGATTTGGGGTTAGGGAGCACAAGTGCTTTAAGGACAGATAATTAATGTGGGACGCTGCAGCACAGGGAAAACTTCAGCTCCTCTGCTGCAAGGAGCCATTTCAAACTCAAATGTGCAAAAGCAGAGTTAAAATATCCCTCCCCCCTTGGAGGCATGAAATGAGAGTGCCTCACACACGAAACTCCTCTGAAACTCCTCTGGCCACTGTGATGTTAACACCAACAGGAATCCCGTGGTGCAGCTGCACTGCAGCTCAGCCCACAAAGCCAACACTCCTTTTGGCAGTGCCTTTGCCTGGGCTTGATCAGGCACTGCTAATTCTCCTCTGCATTTGGTGTGGTTTTTGTTTAGTGCCTGTCAGCACTCAGCAACCCCTCAGTGTGAGGAGGAGAACAGGTCAGTACCAAATGGTTGTTACTTGTTGCACAGTCCTGAGTGCCAAAGGGAATTGCAGACACTGGGGAACAGCAGCACCAAGTAACTGCACCATGAAATCCACCCAAAACACCACTTGCTTTGCAAACTGAAACAAAGAAAGCTGAAGTCAGCAGAAAAAAAAAAATTACGAGGCTGCAACCACCAGGGCCTGTTCTTTAAACCAGCAACAGGAACAAGTTTCTCATGGACCAGCCTGTAGGTGGGACTTGTCTGAGGAATGCAGGGAAAAGCCCATGAGGTCTGCAGTCACGAAAAAGAGCAGGCCCAACCCCCAAAGAGTCTGACTGACAGCACAAGGCTGCAGATCTCCTCTCCCTGCAGCCAGGGCCTCTCTGCAGGACTGCTCTGTGGCCCCACAATCAGCCTCAACACACCAGACAGGAGCTTCCAAAAGAAGAGTGGAAAGAAGGGGGGGTGCAATACCAAGTTATGCCCAGGAGCTCTGTGCCAAGAGGATGCTCTGGGTTATCCTGCAGGAAGCAGCACTGTCCTGTGACAGCTCTGACTGGGGTGTGTCTGAAACCCACCTGGGGGAGAGCCTGCAGCCCTTCTGCAGGTAGTGGGTGAGTCTCCCTGCAGATGCCAGGAGGAGCCCGAAGTATGGGGGTGATGGCTTGATGGGCCTGGAGAGGAACTCGGGGTGATACTGAACACCAACGAAGAAAGGATGCTCTGAGAACAAACAAAACACTCATGTCAAGTCTCTCAAGCTTGTGGCTGAGCTGCAGGTGAAACCCTGATTATGCTGAAGCCCTGATGATGGGGACGTATTATTTCCCTTTTTGCCCATAAATGAAGAGGGACATGGGATTTTATTTTTACCATCATTTGAAGGATGGAATTGAGACAGTCTGAATGGCTCCCACATGAAAACTTGCTCCATTCCCTCCAAACACCTTCCCTTGTCCATCCCACACCCACAAAGTCCTTTTTGCTTAAGGACTCACCTTCCAGCTCAACCACTTCCATCCGCTCTCCCTCCTCATCCTGCCCCACAAACTTCAGACCTCGCTCTTCAAAACACTTTTTCAGTTCTGGATTGACCTAGAAAATCAGAAGCAAGACAAGCCATGATCTCTTGTGTCTGGGTTACACAGGAAAGCTCAATACCTACATGAGCATTTTTACCTCAAATCTGTGTCTGTGTCTCTCTTCCAAGAAATCATGATCTCCATACAGCTTCCCTGCAGCAGAAGTAAGATGTTCCTTAGAGCAGTGATCACAGCTTTTAACACATTCACTTGATCAGCATCCTTCAGAATTTGCCACTTCTGGAGGGGATCAAATTCCCTGATCCTCATACCCCACCAGAAGAGTGGGACCTGCCATTCAGGGATGCTTCAACATCCCCAGGCCTCACTTCCCCAAGCCATTCCCAGGAAACATTTCCAGAAGAGGCAAGAAGGGCCTTACTCATGACTGAATTCTTGGTTTGGAAGAGTGTCCTCCTCTTGCCAAGCCTCATTGTCCCACCCATTTGCCCAGGATTATGTTCTGGCATGTCTATGACCTGTGGAAAGAATTCAGAGGGAGGTGAGAATCAGGGAGGAATAACAATAACAGGCAGACTCTGACACATAAAAGGAAAAAATTCCCACCAACATTCATGCAAAAAACCAAGGCAACCAGCCCAAGGTCTGTTGGTCTGTCTTGACAAGGCAGACCAACAGAACTAGGTTAGCTGGCTGAGGTGTTCAGCACATATGGGAGGCTAGTGGATATTCAGGGAACTTTCACAGTGGAAATGGCCTCAGAGTTTACACAGATTGCACACACCAATACTGTGCTGTTCACTGAACTGCATGTTAAACCAATTTATGAAAACAAAACCCCCAAATCAGAATTGCTCACTCTTTGATAAATAACATCATAAGCTGTTTTTTCATAAGTTCCTCACTTTGTGTAGCATTTTAAATTCTAGCAGAAGCCAATCATTATGGTGGACTCTGGACCAGAAACCCAGAGCCTTCCACAAATGCTCCAGGAATTCAGGTCTGTCAGGAGCTATCATACAACAGTTCAAGTTGGAAGGGACCTTAAAGCTCATCCCGTGCCACCCCTGCCATGGCAGGGACACCTCCCACTGTCCCAGGCTGCTCCAAGCCCCAGTGTCCAACCTGGCCTTGGACACTCTGAGGGATCCAGGGGCAGCCACAGCTTCTCCTGGCAATCATGCCCAGGGATGTGCAAGAAAGTCTAGTAAGGATATCACAAGTAAATGACCCTAAACTCACCACTGGATGAGAAGTTTTGGGGTCAAACTCTGTTGAGTTCGCATCTGCAATGTAAGGTTCAGCAGTCAGGAACACAGAGTGGCTCACACCATGGCATCACCTCCAGGACTGCCCAGGGACAGCTCTCCTCATCCCCAGCTGTGCTGAGCCCCCCCTCAGGCACACAACACCCCAGGCTGCAGGAACAGGGCTGGCAGCACTGCTCAGTATCAGTTTCAAAGGCTGCAGTCAGGGGATAACCCACCCTCACTCAGGAAAATCACAGCTTCAAATACAGAAATAAAGACAGGGAGGGGGAAAGGAGCAGAATGGTCTGAGGAACTCCTTTTTCCTCACCTCATTACTGGAGAGAATCAAAATCAGGTTGAGAACTCAATTTAGCACTCTCTGAAGGGAGCTCTGTTAACAGGGACCTGCTCAATCCAAGCAGAGGGGCTCAGAAGGTAACTCCACTCACTGAAGGAGCTGCAACTGCTGGCTGGCTGAATTGCTTTTTGGGCTCCATTCCCACTGGCTGCAGTGGGAATTTGGCACATGTAGGCTGCCAAGGTGTTTCATTCAGAAGCTAAGAACCTCATGTTGAGCAATAGAAAGCTTTCTGTCATTATCAGCATGACTTAATCCATTGATTTTTATTTAAATAGGGTAGGGAAATTGCTCTTTTTACTTTGAATTAGCAAAAGAGATTGGGATTTTTACAGGTCTAGGTAAAAAATTAAACCTATGAAAAGCTTAAAATCACAGGTATCTAAAAAAAATCAGTTATTACTCAAGCAACCCAAGAAATGACCAAAGGCAGGAAGAGTTTTGTGCCATTACCTTGCCAGCCAAGGACACTGCGAGCAAACTCCACCACTGCCAACTGCATTCCCAGACAGACTCCTGTGGAAGGACGGGCAGGACAGGGATCAGGCCAGGACAAGGACCTCTGAGCCCATGCTGCAAAGCACACACACCCTCACAGAGCATCCTGAGTCAGAGGAAAACCTGGATGAGGCAGATCTTTGACTGGGATTTAGGGGTCTGTAGTCCTGGCAAGCTGTACTTCCCTCCCTTTCCCATCCCCTCTGCTCACACAGCAGTTGAGCCTCTCACCACAGACACTTCACTGAAATGCAGTCATGTATTTTCTGGTGCCAAGATCACCACAGCCTGATCTGAAACATCCCCAGACTGCTATCCCCTCATTACAGACTCCTTGTCAGCACACCCCAGCCAACTCTGACCACTTCAGAGCTAACCAGGGTGAGGCTGCACTGCCAGCTCAGCTGAGCACAGATCACTGCCTTCCCCAGACAACTGCTGCAAATCTGCTCATCCCAGGCACCAATGGAGATCAGGGGAGCTCCTGCTGCAGACCAGTAAGGCTGTCCTTCAGCTTCCTTTATTTCTTCTTATGGATGAAACATGATTCTCACCTAAAAAGGGTTTTTTCTGTTTTCTTGCCCAGGAAATAGCTTGAATTTTGCCTTCTGTCCCTCGAACACCAAATCCACCAGGAACCAGAACTCCACTGCATGAGGATGAAAAGATTCCATTCAGCATGGCTGCCCCAAACCACACACCCACAAATCACCTGCCTCCCATAAAATCTTGGCCTTGCAAGACCTCTCCCCTGAAAAGGGCTCTGAAGTAGCCACGTGGCAAGGCCTGGCTGCAGCAGTTTCCACATGACTTCACATGAGCTGTCACATAAAGAGGGGGAAGCATTTCATAAATGCCAATTTTACCTTCCCAAAGAGAGACCCCGAATATCTCACAGGTTACCATGCTGAAATGGTTCATGCTGTGGGACTCACACACCCTGCACCAAACATGTTTGCAAACACATCACCCAGCCAGGCCATGCTGAGGAAGCCCCTGGCTACAGCGTGAGGTTGTCCTAACACCAAACTCTGCAGGAGGTTCTTTCTTCTGCTCTCACTCAAATCCTGCTGCCCTGAGGGGTAACAGGCCCCACTTGTTCTTGGTTTTGTGCTAATTCTTGGCACTCCTCTGCATACTAATGCTCTTCCCCCTCTCACACTTTATTTCTGAAGAACTTGGTAGCCCATTTACACATTCCATTCTCACTCTGGCTCTAACAGCCTTCACCAGTACCTCTCCTTTCTCCCGATTTCCTCTGTTTCCACCTGATCATGCAGGTGTGCATATCCTCATCACCACGATGATTTCCCCCACTGCTGCCTTTCATCACCTCTCTCACTTATCTAACAATTCTCCACTTAACCCCTTATCCTAAATGCCCCTGAGAGGTGTGTGGGGCCTTGTCAGAGTGTGCTGAAAACAGGTTTATCAGACATTCTCCAAGGACAGGGCCACAGCAGAACTTACTCAGCACCACAGAGCTTCTGCCACGCCTCGTGGTACCTGACAGGCTCCTCCTGCAGAGTGTCTGGCTCCAAGTCAGCAGAGTCAATGTACTGGGAAGAAATCCAAAAAGAGGATGATGAGATATTGCCACCAGAGTGTACAGGACCTCCTGAATTCTCAATAAATTAAGACAGCATCATTCCTCCTGGACAGCTCTGGCTTTGTTTCCTAATGGATACTTTAGTTTTTTCTGGGCTGATTTCCCATCTGTTAGCCAACAGAACTCCTTTCCTCACCCCCCTGCTCTTGGTGCACAAACAGAACCCATGATTTCTGTGTCCCCCCTCTCTGCAGCCCTGCTGTGACTTACACCACGTCCCTGAGCCCCAGCCTGTCACGTTCAATGTGAGGTGTTAATGCAGCACAGCAAGGTGGGAACTGTGCAGACACAAACCACCACACAGAGAGGAAAACCCAATTCCTCTCTCATCAAATAAACATCTCCTTCAAGAGGCACTGCAGAAGAAATAGGCTATGGTGAAACACAGGCTGCTGTAATTAAAGGGTGTTATGGAAATGGAAAAAAACCCTGCAATTTTTCCATTTTCTCATCTCCAGCATTCCAGTACCTCTGAACTTCTGGACATTCTGGCAGGCTGCTAACCCTTTAAAAGAACCATTTTGTCCTTTTTTTTGTTTGTTTTTTGGAAGTTGCAAAACTACCAATCAGTTCTTTATCTAACTACAGCTACTCAGTTCTTCAGCACAAGATCTCCCTGCCCAAGGCTCAGAGCTCACTTCACTTCTGAGCCACTCACACACAGCTGTGCCAGGAAATACCCACAGATGCACGTGCAGGGTTTGCACTTTACCAGTCTTGTTTTGCTTATTTTCACCTCTACTGATTTTGGAAGTTGAAAGGAAACCCTGACCTAGATCAGTTCTGTTAAAAAGCAATCACCTATTTCCAAGACTCAGTGACATCATGGAACTGCTGGGCATTTAGAAATCTACTGAAATGAAAATAAAATTTCCAGCAACTGGTACATATTTCACCTCTTCAGACCATCCAGCTATGACCAAGAGACCCCTGAAAGCACCTGTGCATCCAAACCAGCATGAAAACCTTAATAAAGCCTGAGACAGCAGCATCATAAAACCTGAGTACCACAAGGTTAACATCAACAAAAAAGATAAAACTACAAAAAAGAATCACTTGCAACAAGTGTCAGAGAAATGAAAGCAGAGAGTGCCCCCCTCCAACCCATCCACCACTGTCACAGCCCAGCACACAGCACTGAGGAGCTTCCATCCACTCCAGCTCACAGGAGGAGAGGCTGGTTTGCTCTGAAGCTGGTTTAGGCCTGACAACAGCTGTTTTAATGCTGTTATAATCCAAACAGCTGTTTTGATGCAAGGATAATTTGGATGTCCATGGGCTCAATCACTTCTCCCTTTCTGTCTATGGGTTTGTGAAAATCTGAATTAGGATGGGCAGCACTGTAGGTGGAAGCAGGATGGGTGCAGTTTTTTCCCCACACACAGACCCACCCCTACCTTAATGTCAAGTTTGTGGTTGATGGCCAGGGCAGAGTGCTCCAGGGCTTTGATGACAGATGCATAGGAGTCAGAAAATTTGGTGTATTTGCCCACCAGTGCAATGGAACATGTTTCAAGCAGACGGTCGTACCTACAGAACACCAGAACACACAGGTTATTCCAGCAGTAACAGGAGAGGGAGGGCATCACTTCCATTCTGTTCAGCTTTCCAAGGAACAAACAAGCTGTGCTCTCCTGCATGTGTCCAACAGAGCTGACGTCTTTGCAAGAGTGACCTTTTACAATAATTATGATTTACAAACATCAAAGCGAGATCAAAACCAGAACAATGACTGAGGAAAACAGTTGCAGTTCCACACATAAATTAACTCATCTCTCCTGATGAGGAAAAGCCATTCTGAGCAGATCCAAACTGCCTTTTCAGGGAGCTGTACTAGATTCAAAGGCTGCAGTGAACTCCTAGGAGAGGATCAAAGCACAGCTTGGTGGATGTTTGTACTGCACAGCATCTTCCCACGCTGCTGCTGAGCTCCTATCAGCATTTCTGCACTCCTAAGGCTGTGCTGCCTCCACTTTCAGTCCCCAGCACCTGGCAGCACAGGATTCACACAGCATTCCTGGCTACAGCCAAGAGTCTGTTTAAAGGTTCTCTCAAAATTGCTAAATACCTTCAGCCCAGCTGGTGACCAAGGGCTTTTCCCCATCAAAAGGAAATGTTATTGACAGGGCTGGCTTTTGTCAGGCACAGAAATCAAGGAAAGCATCTAAATCTTGAAAATTAATTTATTATAAGAACAAACATATTTAAGGCTTCAGCTGACATTCAAGCCCTTTCTGAAAAGACTCTATTCACTATTTCCCTGTGAGCATTGAGTCTACTCCTCACAAGAAAAAAGCCCAGTGCCCAAGGAGTCTCAGAACAGGTACCAAAGACTTGTCTCACTTGCCTCAGAGCACTCTCAAAGATATTCTTTGACACTCCTGACATCTCCCTATAGCTACAAAAGCATTTCAACACTTTGCAATGTTACTGAGATGTTTTTTCATACAAAGGGAGGGCAGAGCTGTCCAGCTTTTAATAACTTCAAGCTGGGTTTGACTCAGACAGTATACTTCCAACGTAAGATAAGGATCTCACTAAGTTTATCTCACAGGATTTTATGGAGAAAGGCTGAGGGAATTGGGGTAGTTCAGCCTGTAGAAGAAAAAGCTCCAGGCAGACTTTATGGCAGCCTTCCAGAAAGAGGATTTACGAGAAATATGGGGACAAGACTTTTTAGTAGGGTCTGTTGTGCCTGGACAAGTGGTGATGGTTTTGATCTAAAAGGGGAGATTTAGGCAAGATCTAAGGATGAAACTTTGTACAATGAGTGGTGAGGCACTGGCACAGGCTGTCTACAGCAGCTGTGGATTCCCCACCCTGGAAACATTCAAAGTTTGGGTGGGGCTCTGAGCAAAAGGCAAAAAACAACGTGAGCATGTAAGAACACACATCACCTCAAACAACCAACAGCCAAGAACAGAAACTAATCCTGAAGTGTGCTGCAGTGTGCCCAGCAGTGCAGCTCACCTGTCAGCCATCTCCTTCCACTTCATGAGCATCCTCCTGGGCTGCCTCTCGATGGGAAGGTCCAGCCTGTGCCTGAAGTAGTCCACAACCCCCTGCTCCTCCAACAGCAGAGGAACCCGGTAGATGGAGGAGACATCATGAACACAAATGACCTGTTGACAAAATAAGGATATCATTAAAACAGCCATCCAGTGCCTGTACAATCATTTTTACTCAGATATCCAGAGTGTTCCTGTCTCTAGCAGAAAACCAAATGACCACCTAAACTTCCAGGCAATAACATTTTGAATAACATATCAATAGTTTAATGCTGGTTTCCTTATGCTTGAAAAAGCCATTCTTCAGCACTTCCAAGGCATTACTGCTCCCTGGAGCCCCTTGGGAAGGGCTAGAACACAGTAACCCAGCAGCAGGACAGTCAGCTGCCCAGCACTTTATGTGAGCAGCACTCAGCAAAGTTCAAAGAACACTCCAGAGACTCCTGTGATACAGAATCCCAAGTGAAGCTACAGTCAAACTGCCACAGGCACAGCTTCCCCTTCCCACCACTGTCCTTCCTAACCAGGGCTCCCAGTCCCATTGAAACCCAGGGAAATCTGTGACCCCAATACAGCAATGCACATTACAGGGTGCCCCTCATCAAATTTAGGATTACACAATCATGAGCAAAGAATTCTTAGATCAATGAGGAAAATCTAAATCAACAGTTCTAGTTCACTGAAACAGGAAAAGATGGCTCAGGACAACTGTCACCTGTCCATTAACAATGAACCTGTACTTTAAGGATCCAAGACACACTGGCAAAACTGTTTTAAATCCTCGTTTCCACTGACTCAAATGAAAGCAGAGTTCAGTTCTGCACCAGTCAAACCTCCTTGGCTGCACATTTTCCTCTTTTACCCCCAGTGCTGCTCACTTCTCAATCCAAGTGCAACAGCAGACAGAGCAACAACTACATTAAACTTCCTGGAAAGGGACAAGAGCCAACTTATTTTGAATTCCTGGCCAACAAGAGGTAGATATTTTACTGATGACACATCAACATTATTGCCAGCAGTGCAATGCTTCAAAATGCAGGACTCAAGTTGGGTCTTGCTATAGAGCAGATTAATGAAAATTACTTGACAGAACCTGGGATTTTGAAGTTATACTCAGTCTTTCACAAAAAGACAACATTTTTCAAGCTGCAGCTGGATTGGAAAGTGGTAAACTCAGCCTACACACTTTTGACTATTTTCCAAGGTCCACCTTAGAATGTGTTACAAGTCTCAGTATAGAAAAAATCATGCAAACATAAAATTTGTGCATATCACAACCTTGAAGTGAAGCACTGATTCTCCCAAACATCAAACACTTCAACCTCTCTGTGCAATTTCTCCTCAAGAATTCTTGGGCAGAAGAATAATATTGTGAAAAGAGCAGAAGCACAGTCATACATCCTTTTCAGGTAATCTTTTCACCTCTAAACACTGGAAAATCTCATTCTTCTATGTTCACAGAAGGAATGTGGAACTATAATTAAGGTCAAAGCAGTGATTCAGAAATCACCTTGGATACCACAGAATTCTCTAAGCTTACACCAATCACCTTACAAGAAAACCTGGGTGCTGGCACAAAAAGAATTGGTTTAGCAACAGGTCCATGTGTCAGGAAGGGAGGTAAGACAAAGCAGCAAATGAATTATGCAGCTACCAAAACAGAGCTAGAACTGCTGCACTAGACAAAACTCCCCCCAGCATCTGACAAACAGCTCCAGTATTCACTGCAAGGAAGCACAGACAGCAATCCTCACCTGTTCTGGTTCAACATGACAGAACATGGAAATCTTTTCTTTTACTGAGGTATCCAGTGGAGTGGAGCACCTGCAAACAATCTAACAGAGCAGCAACATCAGGGTTGTGATGCAAACAGAAACACTCAGGCATTCATAAAACAAACCTCTGAAAAGAGCTGTCTTTGTGCAGCCTCAGTGATTTGAGAAAAAAACCCACAACTCCATTTCTTTTCCTTATTTATCACCACTATACAAGAGCTCTCAAACAAAGCATTACTTAGACAAGACTGCTGCTGCAACATGCCAGATTTTTACATGTCAAGCTGTGCTACACAAAGCTTACCAGATCTGGAGAGAGCCCGAGGCCCCTGAGCTCACGAACACTGTTCTGGGTGGGTTTGGTCTTCTGCTCCCCTGTCGAGCTTGGCTGGTCAGAGAAGAGCAGTGGGTGCATCAGATTGTGATAAGCAGCAATGATTCAGCAGGTTAATCAGGACTCTCAGACATCTGATAAAAACTCTGACTCAATTCTTGGACAATTCACATGAACCTCATGTAGCCCATTTTAATCCCCAGGACTGAGAGCAACAACAGGAACCCAAGTTCCAATCTGTCCACTGGAGTGCAGGAAGGAGAGGGACAGAGGGCCTAAGATTTATCCACTGCTCCCTCCTAACACCTAATGTTTTGTATTTCTGATTTTTCTCTATAAATCACCTGGCCTGGACAGAAGGGGAAAAGGGGAGAAGAGAACAAAGACTGATCTGCATTCCATAATTATCAATTTGCACTGCCAAATCCAGTTCTGTCTGACACAAGGAATGCTCATGCTGCATTTCTGCAACTCCCAAGCCTTTATTACACATTTACAACCCATTGAAAAGTTCCTGTTTCATTGCTGTACAACTTTTTAAACACATAAGCATATAATCTCTTCATTTCTGCCAGAAGTTTACATATACACAGCAATACAAAAGCACCAGCACTTAGAGATACAGCATTTCAGAAACAGCTATTTAGGAAATTTTGCACTGGGGAAGCCTCTGCCCACCAACAAGTTTTGGGTCCTTACCTGGGGAACCAGACTGACATGAATGTTACAGAAATTCTCTCTTTTGGCTTTGAACTGGAACTGGCGGAAGGCCTCGATGAAAGGCATGCTCTCGATGTCACCCACAGTGCCCCCGAGCTGGCAACACACAGACACTGGGAGTTACAGTTACTGCCAAAACCTGGTGAAGGTGTACACTAAAGACATGAAAACACACACAACAATCTACTCCAGGTACTGCTCTACCTTCATCATTCCCTCACAAATCGAAAAGCCACAAGAAAAACAGCTTCCCCTATGGGCAGCACCTCTCCAGAGACATCAGCTTGACCCCTATTTTCTCTTCAGAGAACAGACTTCGACATGAAAATTATGACTTATGAACATTAGGTGGCACTGAGAAGCAAAATTTCTGTTAAGTTTTAGGAGCTATATAGAGTGGACACATGCAGGAACAGATGCAAGACTCTAGCTGGAGCCTCCCAGGCCCTGTCAGACAGTGCCTCCTCGGTACTCGAGATCTGGGCTCGTGATCCTGGCACACAGACTGGCACCCGAGCTGCAGGCAGAGCCCAAGCCACCCTGACCTGGGCTCTGTGACAAGCTGCCTCTCCTGTGTTAGCACATCCCAGCAGCCAGCTCAGCAGTGTCAGAGCCCTCACCCTGCTCTGTCTCCTTCTGGCAGCAGAATGTTCCATAAACACCCTGAGAACTTGTGCCGTTCCCTGCTGCTTGTCTGTGCTTGAACTGGTCACTTGGAGGGGGAAAGACAACTGTACCTAGAGGGGAATTTACCTCCCCTCCCTCCATCCACCAAGGGAGAAGAGGGCACAGCACAATTAACTCAGACTGGCATGTTGAGTTACAAGAGCTAAAAAAATTCATTCTGTAGGTTAATTCATAGAATACCCTGAGCTGGAAGGGACCCGCTGAGTGCAGCCCCTGGCTCTACACAGACCCCCCAACAGCCCCACCCTGGGCATCCCTGGAGCTCTGGCAGCCTCGGGGCCGTGCCCATTCCCTGGGGAGCCTGGGCAGTGCCAGCACCCTCTGGGGGAAGAACCTTGCCCTGATCTCCAGCCAGAATCTCCCCTGACACAGCTCCAGCTGCTCCCTGGGGTCCTGTGGGGCTGTCCCTCATGAGGCAGCTGCAGGCTGCAATTGAAAAGATTAGAGTAAGTGAAGTTAACACGGGGAATTTTTAACCCATTCAATAACATGCAAAGTTGAACGTTTCTGTAAAGAAAAATGCAAAATATGCACATAGATCAGTTTACTGCATACAGGAAACAAAACTACCTACTTTTTAAAAGTTACAAACCTCAATCACACAAACTTGGGGCTCGATGCCATCTTCATCCACAGGAATCCGTGCCTGCCTCATCACCCATTCCTGTATGGCATCTGTGATGTGGGGAACAACTGGAAAAGAAACCCAGGCAAGGGTTAAAGCCCCCACACATTTCTCCCTCTTAACTCATTAGAGAGCAAATTACTGACAATCACTAACCAGTGCTTCTCTTAGGGCTTGAGCAGGACATTTTGTCTTTAAAGAACTATGCATTTTGAAGTGATTATTCTTGGCTGTTATTTTCAAGGGCCTTGGCAGGAAATTGAACCCTGCCTTAATTTAAACACATGTAAGCAACATTTCCTTTAAGCTGAAAGATTCAAGCACAAACTGTTCTTTGCTCTAAATAGAGAAAGTTACTCTGTTTTTAACTGTCTGTAAAAGTCCTAATGTCAACCAGCTGTGGAAAGTAGTTAAAAAGGGAAGGGACTAACCTGATACTCACAAATCCTTTGGGTTTTCTAATGACATGAGTTAACAAAAGCATTTACCATTTTAACCAGCTAACAAACAATCCCAAAGTGTATTGGTCTGAAGTCTGTTCACATTTATCACTGGGTACATTAGACAGCTGGACCCAAGTCCAGCACAGTCCAAACACAAGCAGGATGGTGCAGAGGTTCAAGCAAAGATGAAAGCCAAAAGCATCCAGCCAGGACTGAAATACAGAATTCACTTCTAGCAGCCTAGGCCAGGACAATCTTTCAGTGAAGAAATTCCCAATATCCAGGAAAGAAGTTTTGCATCACCTTGGACAGTTTTGCCAAGATAATCTCCCTTCCTCTCCTTGTTAATGACATACTGGTAGATCTTCCCCGTGGTCAGGTTGTTGTCTTTGGTGAGTCGGATATCGAGGAAGCGCTCGTAGTTCCCGAGGTCCAGGTCCACCTCCCCTCCATCATCCAGCACAAACACCTCCCCTGCAGGCACACAAACGGGCACAGGTGTCGGGCACGCGAAAGAATGGAAAGGAAAACAAACTCCTTCCCCGACTGCAGGAGCAAGCTGAGGAGTGGCGAGCACAACTACAAGCCTTTATGACCGAGAGGAGCAGCGCACTGGGACCGAACCCCTTCAGGCAGGGCACATCTGTGCTGCGGGCACGGCAGCCCCAGGCTCAGCAGCGGGCACAGAGCCCCGCACGAAGGAGACGATTCACGGCAGCGCCGACCCCGAGCCCGCCCGCGGCGCGCTCACCGTGCTCGTACGGGGAGAAGGTGCCGGCGTCGATGTTGATGTAGGGGTCGATCTTGATGGAGGTGACATGCAGCCCGCAGGACTTGAGGATGGTGCCGATGCTGCTGGCGATGATGCCCTTGCCGATGCCCGAGATCACGCCGCCCGTGACCAGGATGTACTTCATCTGCCCCGCGCCTGGACGCCACAGACACCGGCACGGCCTCAGCGCGGGCTCCGCGAGGGGAACGGGCCCCGGGCGCTGACATTGCCGAGAGCGCCCCGCAGGCCGCTCCCCGCCCGCCGCTGAGGGCCGGCGCCTGCCCGCTCCTCCCGCCACAGATTCCCGCCACCGCCGCGCGCCGCCCGTGCGGCCCCCGCCGCCAGGCCCGCGGGGTCCGCGTGGTCCCGCTCTGCCG